CAGCACTGACCCTCCGACAGTGCGGCGCTCCCTCAGCACTGACCCTCCGACAGCGCGGCGCTCCCTCAGCACTGACCCTCCGACAGTGCCCACTCCCTCAGCACTGACCGTCCGACAGTGCCCACTCCCTCAGCACTGACAGTCCGACAGTGCCCACTCCCTCAGCACCGACCCTCTGATGTTCTTTAAAAAGAGTGGAAAGAATGTTTCACTGCGTTGGATATAGGTTTGGAGTTTGGAACTGAGCTGAGATGGGGAAGGTGGCAAAATTCAAGTAAACGTATGATGTTTTGTGATTATTTGCATTGAGGTTTGATTCCTTGAGACCTGTAGAAGGAGTATTTATGGTGCATTTTAAAATCAATAGGAGCCATTCACTATGAGAGTGGTAGTCTACTGTGTCCATGAACCCAAAGCTTGTTCACTGGCTACTCCACTACACCCTGCCCCAATGATCCACTCTGCTCAGGTGACTGTTGATCAGCAGGGGATCCACCCTGTGATCCAGATGGATCACCCAAAGCTCTGTGGCGTTGAGCCAGATGAGCCTATGGGGGTGGGGGCTGAGCTATTGGGGAGTGCGGGAAATAGAGTCAGTCAGAATTACCGGAAAAGGTACAATCTGAAAGTAATGAGCAGGACTGAGAGCAAGGGATTCAGCTGGGGACCACTCCCAGTCAAAACGTGATAAGTTCAGAACCAGGATAGAGGCACATCAAGACTGAAAGGCTTTGAATGAGTCATTTTTACACCAAAACCCTGTGGAGTTAAATGACGGGGAACTGGTTATTGCTAATGAATGGAGCAGAGGGAGAGATATTCATTTTTGGCACAGACTGTGTCATTTAACTGGAGGCACAGTAAGCCCGGCTACGGTTCTTATGTACGAGTAAAGCTCCCTATACACTTTTAACCTGAAAGTAATGCTTTCTCGACATTGTCCCTCATCATACAGCCCCAAGATAGGGACAGCATGAGGTTAGATACAGAGTAAAGCTCCCCCTGTACTGTAGCCCATCAAACACTCCCAGGACGGGGCAGTACGTGGTTAGATACAGAGAAAAGCTTTTTCTACACTGTCCCCCATCAAACACACCCAGGACAGGGACAGCACAGGGTTAGATACAGAGTAAAGCTCTATCTACACTGCCCCTCATCAAACACTGCCAGGGCAGGGACAGCACGAGGTTAGATTCAGAGTAAAGTTCCCTCTACACTGTCTCCTATCGTACACGCCCAGGCCAGGGACAGCATGGGGTTAGATACAGAGTAAAGCTCCCTCTACACTGTCCTCATCAAACACTCCCAGGACAGGGACAGCATGGGTTAGATACAGAGTAAAGCTCCCTCTACACTGTCCTCATCAAACACTCCCAGGACAGGGACAGCACGGGTTAGATACATAATAAATCTGGAAGTTTAGGAGAACTTTCACAGTAAAACAACAAGCTTCGCAGGCATTAACTCAGGCCTGACCAATCGCGTTGTGAATTCTGTTTTGGGCCTATTTCTGGAAGGTTCAGCTCCTGTTGTCAACCTTTGCCATCTCACTGTCCTGTGATTGGCTTCCAGGCTCGTTTGTTCTCATGTGACCCGTACAAGCAGAGACATTCAGAGAGCAAGCCGACTCCTCATTGGATGGTTTTTGATGCACAGGAACCACCATTTTCTCCCCAGCTGCAATATTTTAATGATTAGTGGGATCACACCAAAAACAGAGGCTGTAGATTCAGATCACAATATTGTGGAGGCTGTAGGGATCCAGGCCAAACACTCATAGGCTGTGAATAGCAACCTGGATGCCTCCTTCCTTCATATAAATGGCAGGCAAATGGACATCTGAGGTATGACCTTGTGGGAAACGGTGGCATTGTAGTAACGTCATGTAGCTACTAATCCAGAGACCCAGGTTAATCTTTCAAGATGGTGGCAGAGTGGGGGGCCTGAGCCCAGGGATTTGTCCACTCCCTTCGGTTTTCTTTTGTTGTTTTTCTTTTTTTTTTACTTCCACACTTTTTCTTTACTCCTTGTTTCCTTTCCTTTAAAGCCTGGAGAGTGGTGAATGAGGGAGGAGGACTCCTATGGTAGCGACGCCAGGATAAGCCAGAAACGGCCCCACTCCAGCCCGGGGTCTGCCGTCAAGCGAGCAGGGCCGACTCCTCCATCCCAGACCCGCAGGATAGGCCGAGGCTCCAGGTCCGCATCTAGGCCCAGGAACGTGAAGGAGGAGAAAAGCGGACTAGGCCTGGAATCGCAGCTAAGGCCAAGGCTCCAGGTCCACAGCTAGGCCCAGGCACCTGAGGAGAAAGGCAATACGTGACAGTCTCATCCTGGTGTAGTGGCCTTGGCACAGCATGATGGTCTTGTTTGGCAGACGCTTCCGGCCCAGTATTCCAGCAGCCTCGGCCTGGAATGGTGGTTTTGTCTCAGTATTCCATTGTTCCTTAATCAGCCTTTTCTGAGCCCAGGAGCTGTTAACTGAATGGTGATGAGCTTTGTCATACTTTCACTTTTATTTATTATTAGGGTAGTGAAGAAGGCGTTTGGTACGCTTGCCTTTATTGGTCAGTGTATTAAGAATAGAAGTTGGGAGGTCATGTTGCGGCTGTACAGGACGTTGGTTAGGCCACTTTTAGAATACTGCACTTAATTCTGGTCTCCCTGCTATAGGAAAGATGTTGTTAAACTTGAAAGGGTTCAGAAAACATTTTCAAGGATGTTGCCAGGGTCGGAGGGTTTGAGCTACAGGGAGAGGCTGAATAGGCTGGGGCTATTTTCCCTGGAGCATCGGAGGCTGAGGGGTGACCTTTTATAGAGGTTTATAAAATCATGAGGGGCATGGATAGGGTGAATAGACAAGGTCTTTTCCCCGGGGTGGGGGAATCCAAAACCAGAGGGACATAGGTGTAAGGTGAGAGGGGAAAGATTTAAAAGGGACCTTAAGGGGTAACTTTTTCACACAGAGGGTGGTGCGTGTATGGAATGAGCTGCCAGAGGAAGTGGTGGAGGCTACAAATACAACATTTAAAAGGCACCTGGATGGGTATATGAATAGGAACGGTTTAGAGGGATGTGGGCCAAATGCTGATAAATGAGACTAGACACTAATGACTAATGTCATTGATGTAGGCTCCGTGGTGTGGGAACTTATAAAACTAACATGAAAAATACAGCAAAAAAATACACATGACAATAAATTTCTATTCTATTCTAATGCACTAGGGCAAGGGTTCAAGCCCCAACTTTACCCCGATGGAATTTAAATGCAATTAATCAAATCTGGAATGAAAAAGGTAGTCTGTCACTGTGAAATTATCAAAAAGCCCTTCTTTCTGCTTTTTAAAAAAAAAAATTCTTTCATGGAATGTGAGGCAGGCTAGCTGGGCCGATATCCCTGAAGAAGAGTTGTACTGGACCTGAAACGTTGTCTCTGTGTTTCTCTCTCTCCACAGATGCTGCCTGATCTGCTCAGTTTGTGCAGAATTTGGGCCAGTGTTAGTTGCCTCTTCCTACTTGCCCCTTGAACTGAGTGGACCTCTCTGACTGCTTTCAGAGAGACGTCGAGAGTCAACCCACTACCACCGTGGGGTCCAGGTAGGGAGGGCAAATTTCCCTTCCTTAAAGGGCAACGGTGAACCAGGTGGGTTTGTAGCAATCACCATCAATGTTGTTGTTATGCTCCCCATCGCTGAGACTAGCCTTATGTTTTGCTGAATTATCCTTTGGATTTAGATTCTATTGACTCTAGGAAAGGTTAGGAATGGGAAACCTTGTCTCCTGTTAGCCTGAACTATAACACCATCTCCCCTCCCCCTGGGGAAGGAAATATGCTGTCCTCAAATGGTTTGGGCCTACATGTGACTCCAGACCCTGGAATGAACTACCGGAGGCAGTGGTGGAAGCTGGTACAATTATAAGATTGAAAAGGCACCTGGATGGGTAAATGAAGGGAAGGGTTTAGAGGGATATGGGCCAAATTCTGGCAAATAAGACTAGATTTATTTAGGATATCTGGTTAGCATGGATGAGTTGGACTGAAGGGTCGGTTTCCATGCTGTACAACTCAATGACTCTATGACCCCACAGCAATGGGGTTGATTTCTAACTGCCCTCGAAGTGGTCAAAGGAAACCATTCTACTCCAGAGCCCCACACCACAGCTACGTTTTCTCTCTCTCTCTCTCTCCATCTCTCAGGGAGACACTGGCTTCAGTCTCCTTGACGTGGCTTTCGCTCCTCTGTCCTGCGGTCTTAGGTAGTTAGCCGTCTCTGATTTCCTTGACAACCCTCCAGCGAAACACCCTGGAGCACGTTTACTGCATTGAAGTGGCTGCACAACGACAGGTTTTTGTTGCCCTTATCCAACGATGTCACCAGTTGTAGAACCGAAGTACGTGCTTGGATGGGGAATAATCACTCAGACAGTGACCAGGGCCCCTCCGTGCTCTGTGTAGTCTAATATCACCGTTGAGAGTGGGAGGTGGGGTTGTGTACTGATATGGAGGAGTGGAGATGTGGAGGAGATGTTCCTGTTGGTAATACCTAGCCTTGGATCGAACTGGGTTCCTCTGAAGACTCTCATCTCTTGTGAGGAAACAGTAGAGATGACGTTTTCAGGGATCTGTGTGGGCCATAGCTGCTTAGGTCCAACCAGACACTCCAGTGTCTAGACAAGGTGGCCCAGTCTAATACGTTGGGTATAAATTCAATTAATAATCTGGAATTTAACTAGTCTCAGTGTTGGTAACCATTGACAACCAACACTGGTTGTTATGTAAACCCATCCAGTTCACTAATGCCCCTCTAGGGAACAGTGGCACAGTGGTCAGCACTGCTGCCTCACAGCACCAGGGACCTGGGTTCGATTCCACCCTCAGGCCACTGTCTGTGTGGAGTTTGCATGTTCTCCCTGTGGGTTTCATCCGGGGGCTCTGGTTTCCTCCCACAGTCCAAAGATGCGCAGGTTAGCGGGTTGGCCATACTAAATTGTTCATAGTGTCCAGGCTGGGTGGATTAGCCATGGGAAATGCAGGGTTACAGGGATAGGGTAGGGAGATGGGTCTGGATGTGATGATCTTTGGAGGGACAGTGTGGATCTGATGGGCCTAATGGCCTGCTTCCACACTGTAGGGATTCCATGATTTCAATGTGAAAAAGCCTCCAACTGCACCTCCTAGGCCCTGTACAAGAGACAAGGGTGGCAGATACATGAGAACACCAGCAAGTTCCCCTCTGAACCACACACCGTCCTAACTCAGAAAATGTACCGGCTGTTCCTTCAGTGTCACCCAGGCGAAATCCTGGAATTCCCTCCCCGACAGCATTGTGGGTCAACCTACAGCATGTGGACTGAAGCAGTTCAAGAACGCAGCTCATCACCACCTTCTCAAGGGGCAATTAGGGGTGGGGCAACATACTCCGGACCCATCCCTGGTCAGGGTTGCGAGGCAGCCTCCTTTCTCCCAGTTCCCCACAAGCAGCCGCGACACGGCCTGTCCCTTTAAATATTGCAGGAGCTGGGAACAGTATCCAAGGTAGCTGACGTCAGCTATGTATTTCAGGCAGAAATTGTAGAGTACAGGGGTCAGTGGCTAGGTGAGGCAAAGAAATTTCAGATTTATATACATAAAAAAGGACAAACTGCAGTGAAGGTGCTTGGTGTAAAACAGGGGCCATTGCTAGATAATGCCCTTCATCTTTACAGTAAAACTAGGCTTGGCTATATAAGATGCTTCATTGGAACTGAATGCTGCAGGATGGCTCTTTTGTATACACACCGTGTGTGTGTGTGTGTGTTTGTGTGTGTGTGTCACTCTAAGGGTAGGAGCATGGTGCTTTATTAAGGAGGATTGAAAGGGGAGCTGCTCTCTCTCTCTCTCTATCTCTCTCTGTGTATCTCTATCGCCCTGTACCCCCTCTGGGCAGCTTTTGTCCCTGATAGGAAATGACTTGGCCGTTTCCACATGGCGTTTTTGCTCGGCTGGACCTGTGCCTGGGAGGCTGAAGAAAGATCATGCAGAGTTTGTCAGGAGCAGTGAACGAAGGTAACACCCCGAGCCTGCAAGATATCAGAGAGGAGGTGAGTCTGACTAACATACACACACACACGCACACACACACACACACAAACACTCACAGAAAGGCAGCACCGCCCTCGCCTAGTGAGTTCGTGAAATACCAAGGAAATTAAATTTCACCTTCACCAGAAATAAAAAGCTTCAAGTGGAGGGGGAGGGAGGTGTGTGTCTGTTGCGGGTATAGAAAGAGAAACAGTAATGTGGGAGCGGGAGGCTCTGTCACGTTCATCTCAAATCAATTCTGTGGACATTAGCGATGATAGCAATTTAGACACCCAGAGACTGCTAATCTCACCAATTCATCGCGAGGGGAAACAGAATATCTTTTTAAAACCCCCTCCTCCAAAATTGTCTGTTGTTTTTTTGAAGGGCAGGCAAGGAAGTGGGGGCAAGAGATGGATATTGGTGGGGAGGGGGGATGATATTTCTGGAATGAGATCGCTGCATTGCAGTGAAATGTTCCTCAGTTTTTTTTTTTGACACCTCTCTCTCTCTCTCTCTCTCTGACATTGTTCCTCCCCAGTTTAATTTCCTGAGCTGTTCTGAGCAAGGACAAGTTGATGGGGTATGGGTGCTGCTGGAGAAAGAGATGTCTGCTGGTGTTTATGTTTTCTTTGGCTTTGCCTGAAGATGGGGGAAGGGAAAGGTTGGGGGTTTTCAATGCCCAGTGTTTGACTCCAAGACGATCATGAAGGTATTTTTCCTTTTTCCCAGAGTGGACACAGTTCCCCTCGGCCAGGCTAGGGAGGATGGGGTCCACACTCCCGCTCTCTTTTCTTTACACAAGAGGGTCCGATTCCGATCGGACCCTGAAATTCCCCGGGTAATGACCGAAAACACCTTCCCCTACTCCTACAACAGGAGGAGCCAAGTGTAGGGGAGTCCAAAACCAGAGGGCCATAGGTTTAAGGTGAGACGGGGAAAGATTTGAAAAGGACCTAAGGGGTGACTTTTTCACACAGAGGGCGGTGCGTATATGGAATGAGCTGCCAGAGGAGGAAGTGGTGGAGGCTGGTACAATTACAACATTTAAAAGGCATCTGGATGAATAGGAAGGGTTCAGAGGGATATGGGCCTAATGCTGGCAAATGGGACTAGATTAATTTAAGATATCTGGTCGACATGGACAAGTTGGACCAAAGGGTCTACCTCCATGCTGTACATCTCTATGACAGTTGGCCTGTGTCAGCTTTTTGGAAAAACTGCCTGGTTGACCGCGCACTCCCTTTTTCTCATGGCCCTGTAAACACGTCCTTTTCAAGGACTTAATGGGTTCCCATTTGAAAGTCGCAAAGTTGTTAGAGCAGTGTATGTGAAACCATTCATCCCGTCTAGTCAAAACAGGCTCTCTGTGCACCTATTCAGACAGTCCTCAACTCTTCCGAGCTGCCCCTTCACTACCTCTGCAAGTTTATTCCTCCTCAAGTTCCTGTCAAATCTCCTCCTCCGATCGTTTGTCATCTCTCCTTCCCCTCCCCAACTCGTGGGCAGCGGGTTCCAGCTCGTTGCCCCGCGCTGCAGAAATCAACCTTCCTCCTCAAAGTCAAAACCTTCAATCTGTGTCTCCCCCCCTCACCCCTTCCCCAGTCCTTGTCCCATCAGCCAATGGGACCCAGCTTCTCCTTTCCCGATCTTATAGGATACTGTCACTATGGCCACCACCTCCATCAAATCTCACCCGCCCCCCCCACTTCCCTCCATCTCCTTCGCTCTGAGAGGAACGACACCACCCACCCCAAGCTTCTGTGACCCTTGACCTCACGGCTAAAATCCCTCGACCCCCTACCCCAGGACCGTTCTGGTCAAACTCAATCCACATCCTCTCGAGGGACTCTCACCTCCTTCTCGAAGGGACAGGGTCAGAGGAGGGGAGCCAGGACTAGAGATAATGCTGCAGTCAGGGTGGGGGGGTAGTGGGGGGAGCCTGACCAGAAGTTTATAATGGCTCAGTGTGATGTCCTATTTTTGTGCTCAGTGCTTCGGTTTGTGAAGCCCCTGATACATTTTGCAAACTATCTCATACTTGGACAACTGTCAAGTGTGGAGTTTGCACATTCTTCCCGTGTCTGCATGGGTCTTCCTCCGAGTTCTCTGGTTTCCTCTCACAGTCCAAAGATGTGTCGGTTAGGATGGATTGGCCGTGCTAAATTGTCCCATAGTGCCCAGGGATGTGCAGGTTAGGGTGGATTGGCCGCGCCAAATTGCCCCATAGTGTCCAGGGATGTGCGGGTTAGGGTGGATTAGCTGTGCTAAATTGCCCCATAGTGTCCAGGGATGTGAAGGCTAGGTGGGTTAGCCGTGAGAAATGCAGGGTTATGGGGATTTGGTAGGGTGATGGGTCTGGGTGGGATGCTTTTCGGAGGATTGGTGTAAACTCAATGAGCTGAATGGCCTGCTTCCTCACTGTAGGGTTTCTATACTATATCCTGCCACCTTCAATGATTGCTCCATAGGATTCCTAACTCCCTCTTATGAAAAAAAATCGCAATTATTAAATCTGATGCCCTTATTTTTGTCAAAATTTTACCCAGAGTAATCCCTGGAATGGGGTGGGTTGTCTTATACAGAAAGGTTGACAGGTTAGGCTTATATCCATTGCAGTTTAGGAGAGGACAAGGTAATTTGATTTAAACATCGAAGACCCGGAGGGACCTCGACAAGATGGATGGGGAGAGGGCAATTCCTCTTGTGGGGAGAATCTGAAACAAGTGGCTACCCTTTCACAAAAAGCGGGTGCCTATTTAAGACAGAGATGAGAGGCTGAATAGGCTGGGGCTAATTTCCTTGGAGTGTCGGAGGTTGAGGGGTGACCTGACAAAGGTTTATAAAATCATGAGGGGCATGGATAGGGTGAATAGACAAGGTCTTTTTCTCCAGAGTAGGGGAGTCCAAAACTAGAGGGCATAGGTTTAAGGTGAGATGGGAAAGATTTAAAAAATACATGAGGGGCAACTTTTTCACACAGAGAATTGTTCCTGTGTGGAATGAACTTCCAGAGGAAGTGGTGGATGTGGGTACAGCTACAACATTTGAAATACATTTGCGTAAGTTAATGAAGAAGAAAGATTTGGAGGGATATGGGCCAAATGCAGGCAAGTGGGACTAGTTTGTTTGGGATCCTTGTCGGCCTGGACTGATTGGATTAAAGGGTTTGTTTCTATGCTGTATGACTGTATGGCTTTTGTGAGGCCGCATCCTGAATGCTGGGTGCTAAGCGGAGGCGATGGCCCAGTGGTATTATTGTTGGACTGTTAATCTAGATTCTCAGGTCATGCTCTGGGGACCTCGGTTCAAATCCTGCCACAGCAAATGGTGGAATTGGAATTCAATTAAAAATCTGGAATTAAGTAAGAATTTAATGATGACCATGAATCCATTGTTGATTGTTGGGGGAAACCCATCTGATCCACTAATGCACTTTAGGGAAGGAAACTGCCATCCTTACCTGGTCTGGCCTACATGTGACTCCAGACCCACAGCAATGATTGACACCCCTCTGGGCAATTTAGGGGTGAGCAATAAATGCTGGTCTGGGTAGTGACACCCTCACCCTGTGAACAAACTTTTAAAAAAAAATGTTGGGTCTCCTTATTTAAGGAAGGATGTGACTACATTGGAGGCATTTCAGAGCAGGTTTACCAGATTGATATCTGGAATGGCCAGTTTGTCTTATGAGGAAACGTTAGACAGACTGGGCTGGTTTCCACTGGGGTTTGGAAGAGTGAAAGGAGACCTGATTGAAGTGTTTAAAAAAAAAAAATGCCCCTCATGTCTTTTTTTTGAATCTTTCTCCTCTCCCCTTAAAAATATGCCCCCTTGTCTTGAAATCCCCCACCCTAGGGAAAAGACATCAGCCATTCACTTTACCTATGCCCTTCGTGATTTCATAAACCTCTATAAAGTCACCCTTCAACCTCCTTTTGCTCTAGTGAAAAAAGTCCCAGCTTATCCAGCCTCTCCTTATAACTCAAACCCTCCATTCACAGCAAACAGTCTGGTTCTGAAGAAGGGTCCAGACCCGAAACGTCAGCTTTCCTGCTCCTCTGATGCTGCCTGGCCTGCTATGTTCATCCAGCTACACACCTTGTTATAACAGCCTGGTAAATCTCTTCTGAACCCTCTCCAGCTTATTATTATCCTTCCTATAACTGGGTGACCAGAACCACACATAGTACTCCAGAAGAGGCCTCACCAACATCCTGTATAACGTCTACATAATGTCCCAAACTCCTATAGTCAAAGGTCTGGGCAATGAAGGCAAGCGTGCTAAATATATTCTTAACCACCCTGTCTATATGTGATGCAAAATTCAAAGAATCATGTACCTGAACCCCTACTGTTCTACCTAGGCCCTACTTTTAATTGTCTAAGTCTTGCCCTTGTGTGTTTTACCGAAATGCAATACCTCGCATTTATCAAAATTAAACTTCATCTGCCAATCCTCAGCCCATTGGCCCAATTGATCAAGGTTTCTTTGTAATCTTAGGTAACCATCTTCATTTCATCTTTACGAGGTGGATTTGGAAAGGATGTATCCTTGTGTGGGCCAGTACAGAACGAGGGTATACTGTTTTATAATTAGGGGTCGCTCTTTTAGAACATAAGTGAGGAGCATGTTTTTCCTCTGAGGGCTGTGTGACTTTGGAGATCTGCCCCAGAAGGCAGTGAAGGTAGGGGTCATTGAATTTTCTTTTAAGGTGAAATTAGATAGATTCAGGCTAGACTGGGAGTTTGAAGGTTACTGGGGGGATAGATGGAAATGTGGAATTCAAAACCCAGAGAAATCAGTCACCATTTTACTGAATAGTGCAGCAGGCTGGAAGGGCTGAAGGGTCCATTCATAGAAACATAGGAAATAGGAGCAGGAGTAGGCCATTCACCTCTTCAAGCATGCTCTGTCCTGGATGAGATTGTGGCTGATCATCCAACTCAGTCTCCTGTTCCAGCTTTCACCCCATACTCTTCAATCCCTCTAGCCCTAAGAACTATATCCACCTCCTTC